CCCCCCCCCCATGCTCACCTCGTCATCCCGCTCCACCTCCTCTTCCTCCTCCTCGCTTTCCTCCTCCGCCTCGCTCTCCTCGTCCTGCTGCTGCATCGCTTTCTCAAAGGCCACGATGGGGAAGTTGTAGATGTCGCCGTACTGGTCAGGGCGGGGAGACGGCGTTAAAAGGCGGCGCGGCTTGAAAAGGCGGCGCGGCGTTACGTACCGTCCCCTGCTTGAGCCTCTCCAGCAGCTCCTTCTCAATGGCGTTGTCCAGCTGTGCCGCGATCAGAGCTTTTTCCTCCTTGCGCTTCTCCCGACGCTCAACCTTGCGGCTCAAGGGAACCAGCTTCCTCCTGAAGTTGGATTGGACACCGCTCGCGTTTGACTCAAGTCTTTTGATGAGCACTTTTCGTTTTATTTTATCGGTACAACGCAAAAATGTGAGTGTTCGTGAGTGTGGCTCTTTCTTTCAAATGCGAGCCTCTCCTGAGGAGACGGCAAACGCTGACCTCTGCTGGTCCGAGTTACACAATGCACCCCGTTGCACCCCCAGACAAAACGTGCTTTCCCTTTCATTGCGTTGGTTAACATGTAGACATTTATTGGAACAATGAGTAAAAATTGTTTGGATATATTTCGCTGTTCATCTTTTTCATTTTTCCCCCCACACGCCAAGAACATTTTGGCATCCTTTCTAGTTTCGGTATAGATACTTTAAAAAAAATAGACATACTATCCCAGCCGTCGTGGGGCAGTAGGCGGGGGACCCCCTGAACCGGCCGCCAGCCAATCGCAGGGCACACAGAGACGAACAACCATTCGCGCTCACACTCACACCGCGGGACAATTGAGAGTGTTCAATCAGCCTGCCGTGCATGTTTTTGGAATGTGGGAGGAAAGCGCGGAGTATCGGCCCCATCGGGCCGCCTAACCTCATCCCCCATCAGCTTATTTTTACGCACTCCTAAACGTCGATGCGAGTGTGAGTTGATTGATTGGTTCAGCAACTGTTTATTATGAGGACTTAGTTGCATCAAATCTACGAGGGGCGTAACTTCATTCAATCAAATGTCGGCCATTCCCATCTTGAAAGCATCGCACTTCCGTTCCGTTTGGAGATACGGCCGGCATACTCACTGCCTCTTGAGGACGAGCTTGCGCATGCGGATCAAGTACTGCGTGATCTTGGTGAAGCGCTGCTTGCATTTGTGTCGGATGAAGCGAGGCCAGTAGATGAGGTTCTCGTCGATCTGCTCCAGCGCTTTCTCGTAGTTCTTGCTTAGCTTCACCTGCGTCCGTATGAACAGTCGTTGGCATTCAGTGCGCGCTTCCTTCACCCTTCCATCAATCAAATCGTATGACTTGCACGACATTTTTTTAAAAGCATTTCAAAGACCTCTACAGTGGGTCTTTCATTCCAAACGGAAGGCTTTCACAATCGCCATCAAGTGGAAGATTTTAAGATCACCATGATCAAACAAGACTATTTCAAGAGCTTGAAGGTCAACAGGAATCACACCTTCACACTTTTACAAACCATTTTTAGCATTACTTCCGTCACGTTTAAGACTTGTAATCTTTGTCAGGTCACTTTCCACCTATTTACGAGGGTAGGGAATTTTTAAAGAACACTTCTGTCAAACTTGGGCTTTTTAAAGCTAACAAAATGCTATTCGATCAGAAGCTTGAAGAACAACTGTGAACGGACACAGGGAGAATGTGATGCGTAAATATTCCCTTTTGTTTATCTGAAATGGGGATGGTGTCGGGCTTACCTTCTCCCACAATTTGGCAGGAAACGCCGCTCGCTCGATCACCTTCA